CTGTAACCAAATTCAATTCAACATTTATTTCTTAAATATACATACTGAGCTAGGTCCTGGAGAAAGATAGGATAGAAACTTGATCTGTGATTTTATTGGCATAGAGAGCTCTCAGATAACTCCCTCTACCAGAGTGGGACAACAACTTTTAGTCTTAGAGAACTGACCATGGCAGCGACAGCTAAGTGACAAGGTCACCCAGTCAATATGTTTCAGAGATGGTAAGTGAAGTCAGGTCATCCTGGCTCCAAAGCTAGTGATTTCTTTCTTTCTTTCTTTCTTTCTTTCTTTCTTTCTTTCTTTCTTTCTTTCTTTCTTTCTTTCTTTTCTTTCTTTCTGCATGAAAGAGAGAGCAGGGAGGGAAGGAGAGAGAAAAAAAGAGGAACGTTGTTCATATTTACAATGTTACTGTTAGAATATAACTTGTTCTCTTTGTTCTGCTCACTTCATTTTGCATCACCTCATTGAGGTCTTCTCAGGTTTCTCTGAAATCATCCTGTTCATTTGTTCTATGGCATAATAGTATCACATCACATGCATACACCTTCATTTGTTCAGCCATTTCCCCATTGATGGCCACCTCCTCAGTTTGCAATTCTTTATTTCAATAAAAAATATATTATCAATTTTATTGTGCATATGAGTCCTTTTCCTCTTTCTTTGATCTTTTTGAAGCATATGTCTATTAGTGATATCGCTGGGTTAAAGGGTATGCACAGTTTTGAACATAGTTCTAACACTTCTCATAATGGCTTTAACTATGACAGTGGTTCTCAAATTTTTGGTCTCAGCTATATATTCTTAAATATTATTGAGGAGCTCAAGGAGCTTTTATTTACACGGGTAAGAGCTATTGATATTTTGCATATTAGACATCAAAACTAATAAATTAAAAATTAATTCATTAATAATAATAATTTGCCCATTACATGTTAACACAAATAACACATTTTATAAAAATAACTGTATTTTCCAAAACAAACAAACAAACAAACAAACAAAAAGCACTTCCTGATTTTTAGGAGTTCACTCATTCTCAGTTGGGGGTGGGAGAGGAGATATTACAGAACATATGTAGATAAATAAATACAAAGCCTATATAAAGTAAACATTAGGAGAGAGTGCTAAAAAAGTGGGGGTGGGCTAGGGAGAGTCACCTGATGTAAAAGGTTGCAACTGGACAATTTTAAAAGAAGCTTTGGATTCTGGGAGGCAAAGGTGAGGAAGAAGCACATTCTAGGCAAAGAGGCAGGAGATGGAATGTTGTGTACCAGGGGCAACAGAAGCCAGTTCAGCTGGATCTTTGAATTATTTGCAGGAAATAATATTAAATATGACTGGAAAGGTATACTGGAACCAGGACCAGTGGGGGGACAGATTTTTAGAGTTTGAAACAACAATCTGAGAAATATATATGTATGTATATATATATATATATATATATATATATATATATATAAATATATATATGTGTGTGTGTGTGTGCTTGTGTACACATACACATATATGTATGTATATGTGTGTATGTATATATATACATATACATATATATATGTGTGTACACATACACATATATGTATGTATATGTGTGTATGTATATATATATGCATATACATACATATATATGTGTATGTGTACACACACACACACACACACACACACATGTATATATATATCTCCTAGTGGCAATAGGAAGGCACTGGACATTTCGGAGTAAAGGAGTGCTATGTAGATCAGGAATATGAATTTGGCAGATGTGTGAAAGATGGAGTAAAGAGGGGACAGCCAGGAGTCAGGGTGACCTACTGGGCTAATACTATAATAGCCTACGTGAAAGATGATGAAGACTCAAAGCAGAAGGGACTACATGAATGAAGAAAAGGAGCCACGTGTGTGGAATGCTGTGGAGGTAGACGACAAAACTTGACATCTAATTGGGTGTGGTGGTGAGGGTGAGGTAAAGGGGAGAATCAGAGACTCCTGAGGTTATGCGTCTCAGTGACTGGGAGAATAGTGATGCTGTGAACAGACATAGGAAAGTTTGCACGAGGAGAAGGTTTAGAAGGAAGATAATGAGTCATAGCTTGGACATGTTGAGTTTGGGATGAAAGTTATTGGGCTATGATCCATGGCTAGAGGATGACAATAGAATGTTAAAACTCATTCCAATGGGAGACACTAGATGAGAAGGATGGTAGATTAATGCTGCATATCATTAATGTATACTCCTGTGTGGAAATCCATGACCTAGAATAGAGAAACAAAATAGGAAGCATCTGGGTGAGGATTAATGGAACAAAATCCAGAACAGATATTGTGGTGGGAGTACATTATTGCCTACCCAGCCAGAAAAAGGAAAATAGCACGATGAGTTCCAGAAGCAAATCACAAAGCTGGATGAAAGGCAGAATTTGTGATGAGGGTTTAATTAATCTGGATATCTCCATTTTCTAAAAGCAAAACAGCTGAGCAACTCAAGACTTGCATTTTCAGCCTTTAGATTACAGAAGAAATAACAAGATCAGCTAACTGCTCTTATGAACATGATTTTGAGCAATGAGGAAACAACTAGCTTCCTAAATAGAAAGCAGTGGAACATTAGGAGGGAACCAAAACAATACCTTAGAATTTGTGATATATTAAGAGGAAAAATTTGGAAACGGCCTTACCCATACCCTAGAATTGGGGCGAGAAAATTTCAAAGAGAGAGGCTTAATCTCATAGGTCAGTGATTCTCAAAGTATAGTTTTCACATCCGTGGGGGATACCCCTCCTTGGAAACCCTTTCAAGGAACTTGCAATGTCAAAATTCTTTTCATAAAAATACTGACAATGGCTATTAAAATACGGCTTCCTTTTCCAAATACATGTCTGTGTGAGACCAGATTTTCTTCATATGCTTCAACTCAAACCACATATCACAACAGATTGAATGCAGAAGCAGATATGGAAAACCAGCTGTCTTCTATTAAGCCAGATATTAAAGAGATCTGTAAAAAATTTTAAAAGTAAAACAATGCCACTCTTCTTACTTTTTTGTTTTGGAAAATACAGTTATTTTTATAAAATGTGTTATTTGTGTTAACATGTAATGGGCAAATTATTATTATTAATGAATTAATTTTTAATTTATTAGTTTTGATGTCTAATATGCAAAATATCAATAGCTCTTACCCGTGTAAATAAAAGCTCCTTGAGCTCCTCAATAATATTTAAGAATATATAGCTGAGACCAAAAATTTGAGAACCACTGTCATAGTTAAAGCCATTATGAGAAGTGTTAGAACTATGTTCAAAACTGTGCATACCCTTTAACCCAGCGATATCACTAATAGACATATGCTTCAAAAAGATCAAAGAAAGAGGAAAAGGACTCATATGCACAATAAAATTGATAATATATTTTTTATTGAAATAAAGAATTGCAAACTGAGGAGGTGGCCATCAATGGGGAAATGGCTGAACAAATGAAGGTGTATGCATGTGATGTGATACTATTATGCCATAGAACAAATGAACAGGATGATTTCAGAGAAACCTGAGAAGACCTCAATGAGGTGATGCAAAATGAAGTGAGCAGAACAAAGAGAACAAGTTATATTCTAACAGTAACATTGTAAATATGAACAACGTTCAAAGACTGAACTCACTGAACTATAAACAATGCAATAATTAGTCACGATTCTAGAAGACTGATACTGATAAATGCTACCCACTTCCTGACAAAGAGGTCAAGGCTAACATGATAATTTGTTTTGTTTGACTTTGCATATTAGTTACAAGTACTTTACTTTTTTTTGGTGGTAAGTGGGGGATAGAATGGCGAGAACAATGCTTGTTAAACAAAATTAAAACAATCTCATAGGTTAGAGTTTTGGGGAACTTTTTTGAAGATATACGTGAAGCTCTCAAGGACAAAATTTTGTTAATATAATGTCAAATTATTTTAATGAAGAAGAAAGGAGAAATTTTTAAACTTCAAATTTTAACAGCATTTCATAAAACTTCTCCTTCTATCCCCACAGACAGATATATTGTGTGGGCAAGACACCAAAAGTAGACATTAATGGTTGGAAAGTGTCTAGTGGAGTGTCCCACAGATCTGTCCTTGTATTATGCTGTCAACATTTTTAAACAATGACTTGAATTAAAGCATAGCTGCCATATTTATTAAGTATTCAAAAGAACACAAGGCTGTAGAGGGAAGTTAATATTTTCTATAATACAGATAGGATCTGAAGGAAATGACATGCTATAAAAGATGGAACAAATTGAATAAGAAATTTTAATAGGGATAAACAATTATGTATTTAAATTCAAAAGATTACCTTCAGAAATACAAAATGGGGTAAGGATCATGGCTATGCAGTAGTTTCTAAAAAAGAGCCAAAAGTTTTGCAATATCAATCAGTAATACAATATGGCAGCCCAAAAATGTGCCAAATTAGCAATGTTACTAGAGGCATAGTGTCAAGAATAGTAGAACTTGTGTACTTTATACTGGCCAGAATATGTATAAAACATTGCACTGAGTGCTAGGTGCCACAGTTTAAGTAGGATATAGACAAGCTGGACAGAGAAGGGCAACCATTATGGTGAAGGTCCTTGAGACCAGACCATTTGAAAATGAGTTAAAGGTATTTAAGGACATAATAGCTATTCTAATCTAAAGTATATGAAGGACTGTCATTAAGAAAAAATAATTTGACCCAAAGAGTATCGCTTGAAGCAAAGAGAGGAAGTAGTAAAGTAGCCATTTGAGGCACAGTGGATGGAAGAACTTACTAATGATTAGAGTGAAATGGTTAACCTCAGAGGTGAGTGGGTTCCCCCTCGCTGGAGGGTGGTCAAGTATATCCAGATGACTATTTGTTGAGAATGCTGTAGAGGTGATTCTTATGAAAATTATAACTAACTTTTATAAGACAGTGCTTTAAAAATATTATCTCATTTTATCCTCAAAATCACCCTAGGAAATAAGTGATATCTCTATTTCACAGATGAGGAAACTGAAGCTAAAAGAAGTTAGAAGACTTGCTCAATATTTCACAACTAGGAAGTGTCTGAGGTAGGATTCAAACACAGATTTTCTTTATTCCTGCTTTAAAATACTATTTAGTGCTCTCTCTCTCTGTCTCTCTGTCTCCTGTCTCTCTCTTTCTGTCTCTCTCTGTCTCTGTCTCTGTCTCTCTCTCTCTGTTTCTCTATCTCTCAGTTTTGTGTTATGTGAAAATTGTACAAACACACCAAAGACCTCACCCAAATCATTGATTCAAATATTGAATAACAGATCTCTGCAGCATTCACTTACAAACTTCCTTAAATTGATGCCGAAAACCATGAATCTTTGGATCTGATCCTTCAACTAGTTCTGAATTCATCTAATTTTTTTTATTATTTTCCTGCTCATCCCTCTCCATTATACTCACAGAGGTAGCATCAGATTTTGTCAAAAGTTTTCATAAAATATGCCTTATTATGCCCATAATGTTCCCTCCTTTAACCAGCCTCGTAACCCTGTTAGAAAAGGAAATAAAATTATTTGGCATTTCTGCTCCAAGTGATCATTGCTTTCCTTTCTCAGTGCTGATGAGCCAGAATCAAAACTTATATCACTATCTTATAGTTTTAAGATGGTATCTCTTTCCATTTTATGAAAACTAAGAGAAAATTGTCCATATGAAGTCCAGGGGCATCTCCTGAGGCAGGATTGGAACCCAGGTTTTCCCTACTCCAACTTTAGAATTCTCTTCACTAGGCAACCTAGCAACCTCTTTACATAGGTACAAGTTGAATTGGATGGCCTCTAAAATTCACAAAACTGAATTCAAAAATATTTCAGGTTTGTACAACTTGAGATTTGGAAGGTACTTAAATGTCCACCTAATCCAATCTATCTTGTCCAGCCTTTACTTGAAGACCTCCAAAGAGAGAGGACTCAGAACCTCTCAAGGCTGCCCACTCCAAGCAGATGCTGGAGAGAGCTCTGAAGGACACGGTTAGTGTACATGATGTAGACAAAGGTCAAGCAAAGGAGCCTGAGAAGTAATGGTCAGACGGATAGGATTTGAACAGAAAAAAACACCATCACCAAAAACGCAACAGAAAAGAATATTTGGGGAAAAGGGAGCAACTGTGTCGAATGCCACAGAGAGGTCTAAGATGATGAAGATTAGGGGAGAAAAACACTGCTAGATTTTGCAATTAATGTACTTGCAATTAATTCTGCAATTAATATAAGTTGCACGTAATTATTGATAACTTCAGAGAGAGAAGTTTTATCTGAATGGTGACATGAGAAGCCAGCCTGCAGTGATTTTAGAGGTCATTTTATAGTCAATTTTCTTCTCTTTCTCTCTCATGAACTTGGATCCCAGCCTAACCATTAAGGTTAGACTGGAACCTAATGTTCATACCCAGGTTTATTTGTGTGGCATATCTTGTTTAGCTTTTTTTTTTGAGTCATTTGGGGTTAAGTGACTTGCCCAGAGTCATACAGCTAGTGTCTGAGGCCAGATCTGAACATGGGTCCTCCTGACTCGAGGGCCAATGCTCTGTCTACCACACCACCCAGATGCTTCTGAATATCTTTTTTTAGAATGACTGACAGATTCAGAAAAGGTCTGAGGTCTGTGGAGCAGAAGCTGGGGTCGCACAACATAGCATGAAGTTTATAACTGAGATCCTTCTCAAGAATTTCAAGAATTAGTTTGATTCATCTCAGTCCCTTTTTGTGGCTCCCTCTTCATTAATGCCTTGGGAAGTGCACTTAACCATTTTTTTTTCAAGCATTTACAATATCACTGGTATAAGGAATTCCTCATTAATAAACTTTCTCCAGGTGGACCTCTATTCTGCCACTTAGTCTTAAGAGATTTGCCTAGGAGTTTAATTGGCTTGTTGTTCAGTCATGTCCAACTCTTTATGATCCCACAGACACATTGTCCAGTATCTCATGGCAGAGAAACTGAAAGTGGTTCCTTCTCCAGTGTGTGCCCATTTTACAGATGAGGAACTGAGGCAAATAGGGGTTGAGTGACTTACCCAGAGTCACACAGTTAGAATCTGAGGCTGGATTTGAACTCAGATCACCTGACTGCAGGCTCGGTGCTCTATCCACTGCAGTACCTAGCTTCCACTTAAAAGACTTTGCCCAGGGTCAAATGACCAGTATGTGTCAGAGGAAGGATTTGTACTCAGGTCTTCCTGATTCTAAGGCTTATTATCTATGCTACCATATGGCTTAACAGTGGAAAGTGTGGGGTATTTGGAGTCTGAGGACTTGTTTTCAAATTCTTACTTTGACTCTAATGACCTTCAGTAAATGCCTTAAGCTTCCTGGGCCTCATCTATAAAGTGTGGGGTAGAGTCCAAATTACCTTTAAGGTCCTTTCCAGCTCTGACTCTAAGTACCCATGAAGTTGGGGGCCTCTGCAATGAAAATAAGCATTCTGTTTACGCATTTGTTTAATAAATGTTGTGAATATTTCTGTCCATGTCATTGCCTCTGGCTTCAAAAACGAGCCCCTAGGGTACTGAAGATTCTCTCAAACAGGTGCATGGTAATGATTTTTAAAAAAAAAAATAATGGTAGACTTGAGATTCACAAAACCTTTGACTTCAGTCTCTTCACCTTAAATGAGAGCATTTTTACCTACCTTCCCTGGGCACACAGATCTTGAAGGGAGGCTTATAAAATCTAAATCCTTTGCTATGGAAGTTACTAGACGTTGACAAGTGGCCATATATGATTTAATAAGGCTTGTGTTTCACAGGTCCTTCAATAAGGATTAGATTGAATGCAATGTCACATGAGTAATGTGTTCTGAGGTCTCAAAGTACCTGTCATGTAATCCAAGTACAAATATGTGGCTAGCTCTAAAATCCAGTAGCATATGAATTTTAGGACTTCAGGGGAACCATTCTATGCATCAGTCAGCTAATCCTCACTTGTCAGATCTCCACGTCTGTCACCAGACTGAAACTCTGGGCAGTGCCAATGCACCATCATGAAGGCAGTTTTGCCTTTTCATGGATTTTCATTAATCAGTTATTGGCCTGCTTTTCCCTGTGGGGTCCAACGCTGGTCATTTTTATGTTCATAGAACAGTTACTGAGCATGCAAATAATATTAGTCTTGTAAAACTCCCCTTGGAGTTCTCACACCTTTAATTGAGAATCATTGAGACTGGTCAGGGGCTATGGAGAACTCCCAGGGCAAGATCACCATGGTGATTTTTACATGCATTGAGATGACTAAAGACGTCTCATTTCTAAAGCCCTAACTAACAAGGAGAAGTCACAATACAGTTAGGTTTACAGCAGTTCTTCAATCTGCACACTTGGTATTTGGAGTCAAAGGAAAATAATTCCTTAAGCATCTTAATTCTTCAAATTCCAAGAGGGATTATGACCTAAAAAAGCAAACAACAGCAACAACCATAAACAAACAAGGAACAAGGCTGTCATGTACACCAAAATATATTTATAGTAGTATATTTTGTGGTACCAAAAACCTAGAAACAAAGTGGATAGATTGAAGAAAGCTAAGCCAGTTGTGAGATTACACACACACACACACACACACACACAACAAACACAAAGAAAAATGGGAAGACTCATATGAGCTGATACAAGGTGTGAAGAATCAGAAAAATATCACACACACAATGATTACAGCAATATAGCAATGTAAATAGAAAGAATGACAACAACAACAACAAAATGAAACCCAAAGCTCTATAACTGTAGTGACCAAGATGGTCCCTAGAGGAGAACTGGGGAAGTGTCCTGCTCTCCTTTCTTTGTAGAGTGAGGGACCATGGGTATGAAATATTGAACATTCTTTCAGATACTGTTGATATGTCGCTTAGTTTTGTTAAATAAACTTTTCTCTTTTTTTAAACTTTTTTTTTAAATAAGAAACAAGGGTGGACAGGCACATGTCAATAGATATGTTGGTTGGTGGCATAGTGAGTAGAGTGCTGGGCCTTGAGTCAGGAAAACCTGAGTTCAAATCCAGCCTCAGATACTTACTAGCTGTGTGACCCTGAACAAAATCAATTAACCTCTGTTTGCCTCAGTTTCCTCATCTGTAAAATGTGGATACTGATAGCATCTATTGACTAGGGTAGCTGTGAGGATCAAATGAGATAATATGTATAAGGTACTTAGGCCAGTTCATGGCACACAGTTATTGCCAAAAAAAAAAAAAGTTAGGTACTGTTAGCTATTACATTGTAGCTGAACAACAATTTTTCTCCCTTTTATATTTTTTGCTTATCCTTTATTTGGACTACAGAAATCATTTAGTGAAGCCCTCTCACTTTGCAGATGATGAAATGAACGGAGGGGTGAAATTAATTGATTTAGGTCATTCAACTGATTCCATGCAGTAGAGATGAAAGAAATCATGGCAATTATGTATTGTGTTTATGTATAAGATCAAATATAATGAAGGGACTTGCCAGGGACTTACTAGGCCAATCGGCAGCTTAGACATGACTGAAATCCAGGTTTCTTGACTCCTACTGTAGCATTCTTTCCGTCTAACATGCTTTATATTCCTCCTTCCCCAGGCAGAGTGGGCTGCTCCTCCCAACCACTACCTTGCGTTCTGTTAGTGGTGGCAAGCAGCTGATTGGCCTGCCACGGCCTCTTTGCACCTCATTCAGTAACATTTCTCTGTCAGTGACTGGAAAACCAGTTGTACCCTAGCCCAGGCATAAATCTGTTGACATGGTTGAGCCCCAGAATAGAGTAAATCAGTCTCTCTGCATACCACCTTTCCCCACACAACAGGGAGACTCAGGATTAACATTTGCAAAAAGTTCATTGCTTCTAGTTTCATCTCTTTGGAGCTGAATTGTGAATCTGTCTTCCCACATTATATGATGGGAATAAAAACTCTGAAAAGCTAAAAATACCAAAGCCAAATTAAATACTTATATGAGAAGTCTTCGAGAACTAGTTACATTCATGATAAAGGCAACTTCGACATTACAGGCGGCAAGTCATGTCCTGATGAGTTAATTATCTGGAATGAGCATTAAGTGCAATGGGGACAAA